CTTCTTCTTCTTCTTTTCTCTCTCTCTCTCTCTCTCTCAACTTTAAGAAAGCAGGTTTATTGATTGCAGGGTCCAGAGGGCCTATCACCTAAAAGATTCTCTGGACAATTTCTAGATTCTCTAGAAATTCTTTGAAGTTTATACCTAGTGGGAAGAGGGCCTTGAAGGTTTACATTTTTGCAGAGGTTTACATAGAGTACTGTTTTCTTTGAGTTCTCAGAAAGTGTTTTTCTTCTATGTTTTAGAACAGTCAGAGTTTTTACATGTTTACCACAAAAGCAGGAGTAATATCAGCAGTTAAAATCAGTTTTTGCAAGACAGAGCAACAGGAACTAGGAAGTTCTAACCCCCTAAGCTCTTTTGCAGAAATCTTTGCTGATATTCAGTTATGAAGAACAATTATGGTGAGGATCTTCGGGTAGGGGGTCTCTGGCCTGCTTCACTACAACATATTACACGGTCCATGTGGGGTGTGGGATCACTGAAGGGAGTCAAGTTGATTGTTTCTACATGTGCCATAGGAAGATGGTCACCAGGAGGCAGTTGCCTAATGCAGATATCCAGTCCTACCCGAATGAGGAACTAGGAGGAGACAGAGACCTAAACCTATGTCAAGAGTGTCCTCTCTGATATAAGGGGGGTGACTCAAAATGGGGTAGGGAGGAAGAGCATGAGAAGAAGATTACCACTAAATAGTGAAGAGAGGTGGGAGGGAATGGGAGGGAGAAGGGGAATTGCACGGAAGGTGGAAGGAGACCCTCATCATTACACAAAATACATGTATGATGATGTGAGGGGGAAGAAAAAAAAAGAAATGTGTCACATTAGATTGGGTAGAGAGAAGTGATGGGAGGGGAGGGGAGGGGAAAGGCAGATAGGAAGGGCAGCAGAATAAAATAGACACTAATATTGCTGTATGTATATAGGTGACTGTATAACCAATGTGATTCTGCAACCTGTACACTTGGAAAAATGAGAAATTATACCCCATTTGGTTCAAATGTGTGATATGTCAACATCATTGTAATGTCATGTGCAACTAATAAAAAAATCTAGATGTAAGTATTCACTATGGCATTTCAAAAATTAAAAAAAATAAAAAAGAAATACTAATAACAAACAAACAAGAGTGGCTAAGCCTGCTTCTGGTATAAAAAGTAAAATCTAGACTCCGAATGGATGCCAAGGGAACAAAAAGTTAAGGTAATTCACTACAGAGTGCTTTGATTTTTATACTTAACTGGTAATGAATGTCCTGTCCTCTTACAGCAAGGAAAAATATCTACTGTATGCCATATATGTGCAAATATTTTACTGCATATTATAGTATAATTTTAAAAAGTCACTCTTAGCAGTAAGTATTATAAGTTCCATTTTAAAGTAAATGGATATAAGACTGAGAGACACTAAATGATTTGTTCAGTGTCTGGGAAAGAAGTTATAGTTCTTCCTCTTTCACATTTGTACAAAGGAGACTTCTCTCTACTTCCATGAAGGAAGGTTGTGGGCTGAAAGCCTGGCCTGTTGGTTCCTTGACTTTTCTCCAGGGTGATCTATCAGGGATCTGCAAGAAACTCTGCAGTCTGACTCCTACCTCCAGAAATTCTTAGTTAAGCTGAGATACGTCTTGAATACCGGAATTCAGGACATAAAATCTTTAAAATATCCCTCGGTGATTCTAATTTGCTACAAAGGTTGGGAACAGCTATGCTTTCAAACTTGCCCCTTCACTACCTAACTTATAGAAATGTTGATAGCATGTTATTGATTGGGTAGAAAAAAGGAAATGGCTCCCTCTTTATTGACTTCTTGTTTCACCATTTGCACCAAGGATTTTAAGGACATCTATGCTCAGTGCAGACAGGTATCTTGCAGAATCTGCTCCAGCTAAGTCTTTGTTCCATCATGTCTAGTTTTTTTTTTTCAATTAATTTTTATTAGTTCTAATCAGTCATACATGATAGCAGAAAGCTTTTTGATTCACTGTACACAAATGGAGCACAACTTTTTATTTCTCTGTGCATGATGTAGAGTCACACCACATGTGTAGTCATACATGTACCTAGGGTAATGATAAGAAATTTTATCTCTTTAACCTCAAAACCCATGTACTATGATCTGGTTCTAATGATACTGCCTTTATTATTAAATTAATTAGAATATCGTTTTTGTCTGCTTGTGAAACATAAGTGATTTATAACATCCAGTGTTGGTTAGGATGCAATGCAAAAGATTTGTTCTTGTCTGTAGCAGAGAAATGTTGATGTATCAGAAAGTTATATTTGTACAGATGCAAAGGAATGCATAAGAACATACTATAACATCATAACTAATGATATAAAATTAAAAACAATATAACCTGTAATTTCAAGCCAGCAATTAAATTTATTACATTAAAAATAATTCCTTCTGGTATTCTAGCCAATTGTTACAAAAGGATGAGTTCTTTCTGGATAACTTGATAAGGAATAATGTTCATTAAAGATTACTAACTGAAAAAAAATCAGGAAAGTTGCAGAATATACTGTGTATTAAAACTGCATTAGTGTATAAAGAAAAAATTCTATGAGTGTAAATGTAATCATGTTTTTAGGAGAATACAGAAAACAATGCTTTATGCTGGATAATTTGAAGACTTGAGGGAAATGGAAGTTTGTTTGGAAATGTAAAGAACATTCCACTGGTTACTTTATACTCTCATAATTAAGCATGCATTAAATTTAACATTAAAAATTAAAAGCTAAAGCTTGAGGTGCTCTTCTGAGTTTAAAATTTTTTTTTGTAGTTTGACATAATTGTTTTATATACTTATTTTTTATGGGGTGCTGAGGATTGAACCCAGTGCCTCACACATGCTAGGTGATCACTCTACCACTGAACCAGCCCCACTCTTCTGATTTGTAAGGATTTTAAAAGGATTTCTTAGTCATTCATTCTGATCTATGTTGGCAGAGATGTATAAATGAATTCAAGATGGATACCATCCACTGTGGAGTTGCTCAGTCCTGGATTTAATCAACCCCCAAGGAATTGAAAATACATTATCTCCTGAGTATAGCCTAAGTCCATGTGCATGTTAGGAAAATTAGGTACGGCCAAAGGGAAAGTAGGTTGATTGTATCAGCTGATTATAACTCTTTTGCTTTTATGCTGCACTATGGCTTGGCTCTCCAGAAAGGTACATCATGACACCACTACCTCTCTTGAACTTATCTCCACTTGAATGCTTCTTTTCTTCAATCTAGCCTCTGGGGGTTATATAGTACACAGAGAACATAAAGCTGTGTTATCTTTGTGTGATACTCTATCTTATGCACAGAGTTTTGAAATGTTTCACCTTACAATATGTTGAAGCAGTAATCTGTGGAAATTTATATAAAGAACATTCAGGTTTGCAGGAGTAGGTTTTGAAGTTCAGGTCAGAGCAATGATTCTGTTTATAATCAAGGCTAAGAGAAATCTGATATGATATTCAGCCTATACTTTCTCTATGTGAAAGGCTTTTGTGTAATAGACACAGGGAAAGAGTGAGCAAAATGACAAAAAAACCCTCCTCAAGTATGTTATGAATGTGTTAAATTTTATATTTGAAGAAAATCAAGAAATATTTGGCTTATGTTTCTGATTGGCATCATCAGACATACTAGAAAGCATGTTCCATATCTTTCAATAAATTTATTTTTTTCTGTCATACAAAGCCTATTTTGTTGGAATAAATAACAAGGATGGTCAAATTACCATTAACAGAAATATTATTGTAATTTTACATTTTAATGTTTCAACGTTTTTTCAAACCACAGTGACAGTTTCTGCATTTGAGTCTCTAGTTTTGCTGATATATTCATGACAAATATATGCAAATACTGATTGACAGAAAAATAAAATGAAAAGAAGAAAAAAATGCACACTGTCAGCATTAATACTTCTCATCTGTTGAGTTGTCCTATTTGTGCTAAAGAGAAAAAGAAATACAACAAATATAGTTGAGAACTTCTATTGCAGATATGGTGCTGACTGCTAGGGAGACAGAACAGGACAGACAGAAGTCCTATAGGGTATATTGTGGAGAAGGTGATTTATATAAAGTAAATCCTAGAGAAAATTTCATTTATTCTGATTGTTTAGCCTTGAGAAGGAAAAAACAATGCCATATATTGGCATCAGGAAACCCCTTATGATTTCTCTCTTGTCCTCAGGCAAGTTGAAGAGTAAAGGGACAAAGTGAATATAATACAAATTTAAAACTCATTTGTTAATTTAAATAATGAGTATAAAATGCTATAAAGGCACTACTAGGTTGTATATATCTATATATTATTGACTTCTATCTCAATGTTAACTAATTTCTCTGGCCTCTGTATTTCTTTTCATAAATTTAGAACTTTTTTTTACAACCACGGTAACTCTAGTTCTATATTTCTGTGATTGAAACACATTTATTCCCATGGCTATATTTAAAAAGTATATTTATTGAGAATAAAAAAATCACATTTATATATATACATATATTGATAATAAAAATAATCACTATTTAAGTTTAGTAACTGTGATTAAGTCACCAATTCCCACCAATCAATTTTCTAAGTTTATAAAAGGCATCTGAATTAAAGCAAAAATTAACTAATTTAGTCTTAAAAGTATATAATCTTGGAACCTGGAAGACAATGTCTAAATTTTCAAACTACAGATTTAATTGATAAATATTTTTGAAGAAATCTGTAATTCAAAGGTATACTGCACATACAGAAAATTTGAAAATACTTCAAGGTTTGGTATAAATTTATTGATGAAGAGACTTAAAATATGTCTGGGATCCACATTTGATCACAACTGAAGATGTGTGCATGTTTTCTGATTTAATAGGAATGATGGATGTTGCAAAAGCATCATTGGAGATATTAATATCAAATTAAATTTTTAATACTTTACCACCAAACTTCTTCTACATATTTGCTTTGTTTTGCACCAATAGACTTTGTTGGAAGAGAGAAAAATTCAGAATGAGAAATCACACAATGATTAAAGAGTTTGTACTCTTGGGCATATCAGACAACCCAGAGCTTCAGGTTATACTTTTTATCTTTTTATTCGTAACTTATTTATCAAACATCACTGGAAACCTAACCATCATCATTCTCACCTTGTTGGACTCACATCTAAAGACCCCTATGTATTTCTTCCTCCGGAATTTCTCCTTCTTGGAAATTGCATTCACCAGTGTTTGCATCCCCAGATTTTTGGGGTCAATAATTACTAAAGTCAAGACCATTTCCTATAACAACTGTTTAGCTCAATTATATTTCTTCATCTCCATGGGTGTGTCTGAATTTTTCCTTCTAACTGCTATGTCCTATGATCGCTATGTCGCCATCTGCAAGCCACTGCATTACACCACCATCATGAATAAGAAAGTCTGCTCCCTTCTTGTCTTTGGTTCATGGCTGGCAGGAGTTCTGACCATCTTCCCACCCCTTATGCTTATCCTCAGGTTAGATTTCTGTGCTTCCAATGTCATCAATCACTTCTCTTGTGACTACTTCCCCATTCTCGAACTCTCTTGCTCTGATACGTGGCTTTTAGAGATGATTGGCTTTTACTTTGCCTTTGTTACTCTTCTCTTCACATTGGCGTTGGTGATTCTGTCCTACATATGCATCATTAGCACCATTCTGAGAATTCCATCTGCCGGTCAGAGGAAAAAGGCTTTCTCCACTTGTTCCTCTCACATGATTGTCATCTCCATCTCTTATGGAAGCTGCATATTCATGTATGTCAAGCCTTCAGCAAAACAAAGAGCATCACTGACCAAAGGAGTAGCTCTCCTCAACACTACTATTCCTCCCATGTTGAACCCTTTTATTTATACTTTGAGGAACCAGCAAGTAAAACAAAGCTTCAAACACTTGGTTCATAAGGTAGTATTTTACAGAAGCAAATGAAAATATGTAGTGACCTGAATGAGTGCCATGGTGAAGATTCAACCAGGGAAATGAAAGTTTACTTCTCCTCTATCCTTCTATATCCAGACCACAGCTACCTGCAATGCTGAGCTCCTTGGCTTCAGCTTTCTTTTTAACCTGCAGGTGACTATGTTGTGTCTCCCATTAAAGCTATCTGTAGGTTCCATGTAATCACTGATTTAGAAAACTGACTAGAAAACCAGTGGCTATAGAACTTAAATCACTTTACTAGTTATTCTTAATAATGAAAATATTTTATAATACATTGTTGTTTTAATAATATTAAAGTTTATTTTTCATTTAACTACCATACAGTTTCTTTTTAAAAATTAACATGAACTATGTAACTAATTATTATCTACCACAAATTATTTTGCATGTTGTTTGCAATATTTGTTCAATTATTACCAGTCTCCGTAGGACTTGGATATTTTTTTTTTCCGCTTAGAAGTAATTGCAATTTCTCTATTTCCTTGATTTGGTTTAAGTACGTGTTCTTGTTTATCTATACATATTTTTTTCAAAATGTACACATAAAGTTGAATATTTATGTAACCACCAATGCTCTTTTGCGAACTGCAAGTGTGATAGAAATTTCATTAAAAACTATTTATTCCATGCTTTATTTTAGACTAGGTTGTCCTGTACCATATCTTATTTAATCATCACAGCTATATGGCAAAATAGACATGGTTATGTATTTTTTTTATAAATGGGTAAATTGATGCTTAGAAAAGTTGAGTAACTTGACTAACATCCTTGTGCAATAGTAGCCAATATAAGAGTAGTCTGAAAAAATAAAATGCAAACAAATATAAACACTAGTCTTTGCTTTATTTTTATATTTTGTATTTTTTTTGCTAAGGATCTGAACAAATGTTTGGCTTTTCTCCATATTTATACCTCATTTGGGTATAGTGGAATAATGATAATTTTATCCAGGAGGATACTAACTCCAGATATTTTATTTGACATAAAAACTACAACATTAATCAATCCAAACAGGAAACCCTTCAACCACAGTACTGTTGAGCAAAAGAATGAGAAAGAAAAAATATTTATAGTGTTAGCAGTATTATGGTAGAAAAAATTATTATAGGAAAGCAGACTAACAATGGAAATAAAGGAGTGATTCAGTATAAAGTAGTAGATTCCCAGTTTGAAAATTGTCATGGAACATTGGGTAGAGGTTTGCATTAGGAATTGAGATTCTGTATTTGGTTGCCCTTTTCATCCCAGAAGATGACATCAAAGGAAAAAAATCTTTATACTTAGTGTTGCTATTTGTTTGTTAATATTTTTTTTTCTCTCTCTTATTGGACACTGTCTCCCAAGCTTCCTTTTAGAACTTCAATAGTAATGTGTATTATGTTTATATTCCTTTGAGTTTTGTTTACATTTTTCTTCTGGCAATTTTCATTCACGGAATTGGTCCCTTGAGCCAGTGACAGAGAAAATGGACAAAAATATTACGTAGCTCATGCTACTTAAAATTTATATAGAAACCATGCCGAACATTTTTAAGGCACTTCTGATACTATTTTATATTTTTTCTTCTTCCTCACAATTTTATATTTTTGCTTTTTTTCCCCACTATTTGTAGTCAAAGAAATATATCTGCTCTGAATAAAATGGAAAAATTAAGGCAAAAGTTTTGACACTATCAAAATTGACTTTTATTTTAAATGGTACAAAATTTACAATTCAAAACAAATCACACTAGTTCAGTGGAAGAAAGAGGGAATATTTTTAGAAACACTGATTTCCCTGGATTAAAACAAAGGCATTGTCGAAATTTTGTTATTCCAGTCATTCTGGATGTTAGTGAAACTGGATGAAAACCAGAGGTAAGTTGGATGTAGAGAGGGTGGAGAAGACTCTCAAGTCTCAGCATTAATTCAATACTTCACCGCTTGACTTAACCTTAGAGACTGAGATAACAGACTTTGGTTTAGTTTGATGGAGGTTAAATAGAATATGGTAGCATATATTTTGAAACTTGACACATTAGAAGTCATATAAAATGACCATATGTAAAATGGTTAGGATATTTTATTTTATCTATTCCTTTTCTATTGATTAAAAGCGGGAAATTATTATCTGTATCTTTGTATTTTTAATTGAATAGAGACATGTAGTACTGTTTTTAAGAGAACAAACTTTAATTGTAGGTCATCTGAGATTATATTCCACATTTGCTAGCTTTGAATTAATGGAAGTACAGGACCTCTGAGTCTTAAAGCTTCATTTAAGAATAGGAACAACAATTTCATATTTAACTTATAAAGATTGAGATAGAATATAAATGTTTTCAGTCATTGGAATAAATTTGCACTTGGTAAACCACAACTACTCTTTATACCCTTCCAAGAGTTGAGATTTAATTCCAATCAAAAGAAAAATCATCAACACAGCTATTCTTAGAACCTAAGAGTCACATGATTTATGAAGTACTTTTGTTTACATAATTTTATTTAATTCTCAAAAACATTCTTGAAATTCCAACTGCATTTTAAGACTGAAGCTTAATGAAATTAAGTAACACATCCAAAGTCACCAATCCATTGCATGACTCATTTGTATTTTAATCTACGTCTAAAAGTTAAGCTCATACCTAATGTAATAAATAATAAATTAATCATGTTTTGAGATGACAATTTTGTTATTAATTCATTTCCTCTTCCTTTCTTGTATAAATTATAGATCACTAGTTAATTGAATAAAAGTATAAATCCTTACAGACACAAGTGTTAGTATTTATGAAGTGATCACCAAATGTGATTTGATGTATTTTCCCTTGATTTGTTTTGTATGCACTGCTACAAATGCAGAGAATTGAACCTGCCCATCATTTCTAAAATTAATAAATATAAATTATTCTTATGATTATTACTCTTTGTAAATTTTTTAAAGTTGTCAATGGATCTTCTGTTTTATTATTTATATGTGGTGCTGAGGATGGAACCCAGGGCCTCACACATGCCAGGCAAGCACTCTACCATTGAGACATAACTCCAGTCCCGTATTATTCTTTTAGAGAAAAATATTCTAAAATAATTGTGAGAAACTGTAAAAATAAAACAACCAATTTAACCACTCAGTTGGTTCTCCTGAGGAGTTTTTGCTTTATTCATGCTGATGGACTTTCTCAAAGGAACATATTCTAGCTCAGAGCCTGGAATGCCTGAGAAGTGTCAGAAGTGCATTTTCTTGTGATTACGAAGCTGAGCTAGAGATTGCCCACACTTTGAATTCAATAATTAGCCTGTTCTCTAATGTACTAACCTAGACTTTGAACACCTGTTGAAACTTATAAAATAGAAATAAAGAGTGTGGCAATATGAGTTACTCTGATATTTTTCTGATGATTTCTACTGGGGTTTAATTGAAGAAGACATAATTGAGCAAATGAAATATTTAAAAATTAGATTTTCAAAGTTTTTGCTTTACTAAGAAAGATTTCAACCTAGGGCAACATAAAAGAAAACTATTACAAACAGCAGATATATGTGTGTGTGTATATATATATATATATATATATATATATATATATATACACAGAGAGAGAGAGAGAGAGAGTGTGTGCGAGGGATGGATCAGAAATCAAATGGAACAAAAATCTCTTATCTCAGACTCAAAGGAACATCCTTTGATACTTTAAAACTCATATATCTTTTAGTATAATGTTAATTTTTCACCTTGGACATCAAATATATTGCCCATATGTTATCTGATTTGTTTAGGCAGTCATTATTAATATTCATTTGGTGGTAGAGATTTGGAAAGTGCAAATTTTATTTAATAAGTAATAAATATCACTAGTAATTTCATTTTTAATGACTCAAGGAATCTGTCTTAGGTTCTTTGGAAAGAAAGTAAGAATTTTGATACAATGAGTAAAATGAAATGAGAACTTAACAACCTAAGATATGTTCTTCCAGGAGAAAATATGGGTCTGCATTCACAAATAACAAACTGAACTGATGAGTTACATTTTTGAAGATACCCATCATCCTCTACACAAACACATCCTTGGAATAGTTTAGGGCTGTAGGAATCATATATACCTCATTCAATATTTAATTATTGTTTCAAAGGAATATGAATACTCATAATTTTATTATACTTCTTTTGTATTAACAAATGAAAATAATCCATTGAATTTTTACATAAAAGCATAGTATACCCCCCCCCCCCCAATTATTGACATTAGATCTACTAATGCTAGAGATTCATTAAACCTGCTTTGTTGGTTTTTGAAAACTTTCTATAGAAGTGTTCATTTTTTTGGTGATGTGCTGAAAAAAATGTTCATTTTTTTATTGATATCTTCCTTCAGATAACCTCCTATATTTCTTCAGATTTTTAATCAGTAGCCAAAAGAAAATAGTGAGTAGTGTTATTATTAATATTCAGAACAAATGTTAAAATTAACAAAGATTTGGAAGAAAAATAGATATCCAATAAGTTAGAACCAAGGTTAAAATACAGTGCATTCATACATTTTCACTATGGAATAATAATAATATAAAAATAATAGTAATAATGTACTAAAAATAGTAAAATGTATTTTTAAAAATCGGAGTTTCCAACATCAGTAAGTAATTACAAGAACTTTAAACTTGAGACTGACACCAAATTTTGTCTATTTGATGGGAATGTAGTTTGTTACTTCAAGGTATTATGAAAAATTCTTGATTTTAACACAAACAAAACTCTGATAAGGTAAGTTTGATATTACTGGAGGTGGAGTAAAGTGAATAAAAAGGATGGATTATAAAGAAATGTTACAAAAGTAATTAGAAATAACGTTTAATGAAGTTTTTCAAAATTTATGTATCAATAAAATATGGTTTCCTTTACATGTCTTTGGTTTTAAATTTATTCAATATAGGGAATTTGGGTCAAGTGTTTAAGCATACCTTGTAAGGTAAGTAATGTGGGGAAACACATCTTATAAGAGAAAAATAAAGTATAAGTACTGTCCAAGCTAGAATATAGCATTAAATAGAGAACTGTGCCTGATGGCAGCATTTATTTTAACAACAAACTCAATATTAACTAGATGAAATTTTCTTTTAAACCAATATAACTATGCTAGTCACTAGAAAATGTTGAAATAGGAGTAAGAACCTGTTTTTTCAAGAATGTACAGAGTAATGGCAGACTTCACAGGAGACTTCAGCATAGATTAAGTATAGTGGGTTGGGAGGAATGACTAGGGGTTCTTATGATATGTATACAATGGATACTCCTCCTGTGATGGAAAGAGGTGATTTGGAGTGTCATTACAATATGCCACTCACAATACTGTTATAGTTGACTTCAAACTTCACAATCACTTCCAGAAAGGTTATAATTAATGAATACAGAAAAACAAACTAGCCATGGTTCATGTTGATGTGCTTTGAATACTTAATTTCCAGGGGCAATGATCATATCCTGGAGAGAGATGGGAGTAGAATGTGTGTGTGTGTGTGTGTGTGTGTGTGCGCGCGCGCGTGTGGTAGCATGAAAGAAGTACATAAAACATGGTTAGAAAGGTCAGCATAATGTAGATAGGGTAAAAGTAAAAAGCTAAGCATCATTTGCCTAAATGTGATAGGTGCTGTACAATCAGGTAATTCCTACTCTATTATTGTTGTTGTTGTTCTTGTGAAATTCTCTTGGGGTTAAATGTATTTGTTCCTATTTGTCTAAAATAACCTCGGGCTGAGGACCATCATCCTAATCCCAAAGGTATTCATATCAGTGATTAGGGAACATTTTCTCTATAGAAAAATATCAATACAATTTCCATTAAGTGTTAAGCATTTTTCCAAATGCTTCACATATATTAACTTATTTAAATCTTTTGATTATCAAATGAGATTGATTTGTATTGTAGATAAGGAAACTGAGCACAGAGGAGTAAGACATTTTTAAGACCTAAAAATTGGATTTGATTCAAAACCAGACATTTCCCCTCTTTCTTATGCAAATATCTTTGGCAATAGCATTTAAACTTTAGCTCTAAAAAAGCATTAGAACTTATTATTTTAAAAATATAAATAAAACTACTAAAGCAGGTTTTCTTGGGATATGCCTATCTATCTATCTGAGGGCATCCTCAAATATGAATAACAATAATAATGATATTTATTATTTTAATTAGAAAGCAAAATAAGTTGACTAGGAGTACACATCATAAAAGTGACACAAGTAGACTAAAATATCATGAAATTTTGCAAGAGATTTATATACAATAACTCTCAGGTTCAAACCTTCCAATGTACGTTCGTTTCTGCTTCTTTCTCCCCTCTATCCCTGACATCTGAGGCTGCTCATTGCAATGACATCAGTATTTCCAACTTCCAATGAGGTAGTAGCAGGAGTTGGAAAAGCCAATGAGTGTTAATCAACATTGGTAGATGGCTAAGGACAAAACAACCACTTTAAAAAAATTATCTTTTCCCATTTTTGGCAGTTCTCAATGTAATTAAGCTATTAAATAAAGGGAAATGTGTATTGAGATTAGAGCAGTGTCTCAAAAGGAAGATATTTTGTAGCCACACATCTTAACCTTTCAGTAAGAAATAACATTTGGAATCAAAAAAGTCTGGCTAAAAATCTTGGCCCTACCATTTCAAGCTGTGTGATACAAAATCATTTTCTTATTATTTAAAAATTTATTTTATGCATTCATATTAATTGCACGTGTTAATGACATTCAGTGTGATATTTCCATAGGTGTATATACAGCATGCATTGATCGTATTCAATCACCCTTCTTCCACTCTCCCACCAACTCACCCTTGTATCCTTCATAATCCCTATTCGTCACCATTCTACTTTTTCTTTTTGAGTTTCCACATATAAGAGAGAACGTGTGATACTTGTCTTCCTGTGTCTAGCATACTTCACTAAACATAATGCCCTTCATTCCACCCATTTTGCTCCAAATGATTTCATTCTACTTTATGGTTGAATAATATTCCTTGGTATATATACTATATATTATTCATCCATTACCCTGTTGAAAATGTGAATTGTGTCACAAAAACATGGGCATGCAAGTATATCTTTTGTATGCTGACTTTATTTCTTTTGAATATATACCCAGTAGTATAAAGATCAGACAATTTTGTAGTTCTGTTTTTAGTTCTTTTTTTTTTTTTTGGTGGGGAGCATACTGGGGAATTGAACTCAGTGACATTCAACCACTGAATCGCATCCCCAGCCCTATTTTATATTTTATTTAAAATATAACAAGAGTCTCATCATTGCTGAGGCTGGCTTTGAACTCATGATCTTTCTGCCTCAGCCTCTTGAGAGGCTGGGATTACATGACTATGCCACCACACCTGGCCTATTTTTTAGTTTTTTTGAGCACCTACATGCTATTCTTCATATGGCTGTCCTAATTTACATTATTACCAACAGCTTATAAGAGTTCTTCGACATATTCTAATCAACATTTCCCTGTGTGTGTGTGTGTGTGTGTGTGTGTGTGTGTTTGACAATAACCATTCTAAGGGTGAGATGGCACCTCATTGGAGTTTTGATACTTAAGTAGTTTTTAATCTGCTAAAACTAGAGTTTTTCACTGTAAAAGAGAGAAAATTAAAGGATCATTGTCATTATCAGGTGGCTTTCCATTTTCCCTAAAGGTGGAAATGGCATAATAGTTCAGGAAAATTCCAGCTTCACACTTGGATATTTTAAAATTCTAAACTTAAGTGCTTTATTTGTGTTTTTTCCTATAGGTTCAACAAGAAAAAACTACTGAAGAAGCAAATGAGAAATCATACAGAAGTAAGAGCGTTTATCCTCCTGGGATTGTCAGATGATCCCAGGCTCCGGGTGGTAATATTCATCTTTCTCTTCCTCACCTACATGCTCAGCATCACTGGGAACCTGACCATCATCACCCTTACCCTGCTGGATTCCAGTCTTCAGACTCCAATGTATTTCTTCCTCAGGAATTTCTCCCTATTAGAAGTTTCATTCACAACCGTCAGTATACCCAAGTTCCTAAGTACCATTATTTCAGGAGATAAAACCATTTCTTTTAACAACTGTATAGCTCAGTTATTTTTTTTCATTCTCTTGGGAGTCACTGAATTTTACCTTCTGGCTGCCATGTCCTATGATCGCTACATTGCCATCTGCAAACCTCTGCACTACATGACCATCATGAATCGCAAAGTCTGCACAATGCTTGTCTTTGCTTCCTGGCTGGTCTCATTCTTAATTATCTTCCCTGCTCTCATGTTGCTACTACAGCTTGATTACTGTAGGTCCAATATCATTGACCATTTTACCTGTGATTACTTCCCCCTCCTCCAACTTTCTTGTTCAAACACTAAATTCCTTGAGATAATGGGGTTTTCCTGTGCTGTGTTTACTCTGATGTTCACCTTGGCACTAATATTTCTGTCCTACATATATATCATCAGAACGATTTTGAAGATTCCTTCTGCTACTCAGAGGACAAAGGCCTTTTCTACGTGTTCTTCCCACATGATTGTCATCTCCATCTCTTATGGCAGCTGCATTTTTATGTACATTAAACCTTCAGCAAGAGAGAGAGTGTCTCTGAGCAAGGGAGTGGCTGTGCTAAACACCTCAGTGGCTCCTATGCTCAATCCCTTTATTTACAGCCTGAGGAATCAGCAGGTCAAGCAAGCCTTCATGAACATGGCAAGGAAGATTGTGTTTTTTACAAGTACACGGAAAGACGTGGTGTCTTGAGGTAAAGGCACATTAATGTGTAATTAAAAGTACAAAAAGAATGAAAATTTAGTAACCAATTCAAATAAGTATTGCTCTTCTTTTCATTCTTGACATTCACACTTTTCTTTTTCCTAACACTTTACTGGCATATTTGTTTAACATATGTCTCACCAAATTTAAATAATTTTTTATGACTTTCTGACACCCCATTTTTCTGGTGCTTATTCATCACAACCTCTTAATCAATTATTATTTTACAAAGAAAATTGCAATTTGAGTTTTGTTCAGGAAAAAACATATCCCTATATATAGGAGACACAAAGATATTGATATATTTTACTTAACACATCTCAAAATATAAATTGTGTTTTTATTTATGTTTTACAGAAATTCCCTTGAGTTTTTTTACATTTTTTTCTAGAAAAATCTTAAATGCTACATAAGTGAATGAAAAATGTAATTTTTTTTTCATTTAAAACCAAGAACTAGGTCTGGGGTTGTAGCTCCATGAGAGAGCCCTTGCCTTATATCTGCAAGGTTCTAGTTCAGTCCCCAGTACTACAATAATAAAAAGAATACTAATAATAATTCAAAAGTTAAAAATGAAAATAAATGAATAAACATGTTATTTTTCTATTCACAAAGTAACCTGGGCCATTCATTAATAACACGTCTTTCGATTTAGGTGCTCAATAGACTTTCGTTTCCTACGATGTCTCCATAGATGTATAGGTAGACACACATATAAATATATACATACATATGTGTGTGTGTGTGTGTGTGTGTATATATACACACACACACACACAAACACAAATATCTAATGAACACATGCTATAGAAAATAGTGAAGAAATAAGTATTAGATATATGGAATTTATTTTCTCAAATTCCATTGTAAGCTCTCTTTTGATTATGAGTGTGTTTGTGTGTGTGTACACATACATGTGTTGTTTAAAACTAATCCAAAACACGATATGTGTTTGTGTATGAAATATATTAAATATATATATTATATATAATATATCCTTTGAACATATTATATATATAATATATATAAAATATGTGTTTTTAATAACTATATATCCATATATATTTTTAATAAATATATATATACACATATATATGAAGAAATATTTAGATATGGGATTAGATATCCTCCTGTTTCATGGACTAGTTATAAACAGGGCATATATCCAAATTAGTAGATACTAAAGTAAAATATTTTAAGTTTCTGTTTTGTATAAAATATAAGCTTCATTGCAAAGAAAAATATTCCATTACATATAAAGTTCTGGTTTCATTTATTAAATTTCTAATCCACATAGTATATTCAAAATCTAAAATAATGTGTATCTATGTATAACTTAAGATTATGGATACTGAGAAGTAGTCACAGATAAATGAAGCATTAATAACTTATTATGAGGATAAAAACAAATATGTAGAGCATATATAATAATTGTCTGTACTATTAAATATCAGCAATTAGGGGCTAAGGTTGTGGCTTAGTGGTAGAGCACTTGTCACACATGTGTGAGGCACTGGATTCGATTCTCAGCACCACATAAAAATAAATAAATAAAATAAAGGTCCATCAATAACTGAAAAAAATTTTAAAAATCAGCAATTATCATAGTTTTCTCTAGATCCAACTGATATAGTTTTGAACATTTTCAGATAAAAATTGTTATTGGGTAAGAACGCATGACATGAGATCTAAATACTTCAGCAAGTTTTAAAGGCACAATACATCATGGCTAAATATAGGCACAATATTTTACAGGAGATCTCTAGAATTTATTCATCTTGCATAGGGGAAATCCTGTATACAACTTGAACATAACTCCTGTTTTCTCTTTTGCCAATCATGTAGAAATTGTCAGTCTACTCTCTGCTTCTATGAGTCTACTCTAGATACTTCATATAGGTAAAATCATTGTGTTTGTCCTACCATGACTGGCTTATGTAACTAAGTATATTGTCCTTCAGGTTCATTCACATTATACATATGTCAAAATTGTCTTTTAAAAAAATAATTTGTGTGTGTTTAAAATGAAATATATATATTTATTTTCATATCTTTTTTGTGAATAATGCTACAATGAACATGATAGTGAGATAGATCTTTATGATCTTCATTTCCATTGTTTTGAATCTATACACAGAAGTTGGATTTCTGTGCCATTTTCCATAGTGGCTGCACCATTTTATATTCTCATCAACCATGCACAAGAGTTCCAGTTCCTCCACATCCTTTCCAATGATTGTTACATTTTGTCTCTTGGATAATAGCTCTCCGAACAAACAGGGGTGACATGGTATCTCATTGTAGTTTTGATTTAATTTCCCTAATGATCAGTGACATTGAGGTTCTTTCCATATACTTGTTGGCCCCCTCTTAGAGAAATTTCTAATCAAAATCTTGCCTATTTTAAATTAGGTAATTTGTCTTTCTTTTCTACGTAGTTGTACAAGTTTCATATGTATTTTAGACATTACTCCCTTATCTGATATTGACAACGAAGTCAGACATAAATCAGTGACGTTACTTATATGGCCATGAAAAGGACCTTTTGAAATCAAGGTTCAATTAATTCTATTAGGAAAATCACTGTCTAACTCAGTTGCATATTCCTTTTCCTTAGAAAAAACATGCCTTATATGGTTGTAAATCAAAAGTATAATTCTAATGGAGTATTCTATATAAGGCTTCTCCTCCTGTAAGAAGTTGCAAATATCTTTAAAATGAGTGCACATTCTGGCTACTGCCCAGCAGGTATCTAGTGTAGTTGAGTTTTTCCAATAAAGTGCAGAATGCATAATTTCTTTCAGGCAGGTTCAGTCCATTTTCCAGGCCAAAACTCTACATAAATTTTTCTTTACATACTCTAGAGAATGTTTATGATATGAAATTAGACAGAACCCAAATGTAACATATGTTGCAAATTTATCACCAATTATTAGGGTAGTTTAGAGAAGATGTCATTGGTTGAAGAAGATTGCCTTATAGACGGAATGTTAGTCTGTAATGTAGAAATAGGTTGTACTCTGCATTTGTGTGATGAGTGATCCTTGAAATTTATCTCACTTGTCAACTAGAGTCTGCAACAAGAGAATTGTATTTTTTCTTACTAATATCTTTTAGTAATATGACAGTAGTTTTATAACTTTGAGTAGAATTGTGCCCTACTTAATATTTTCATAAAGATTTGATCATGTTCTCTAAGCATAGTTAATATGTGCCAGGACCCATGGTTACCATATATAATATGAAGAACACAAATCAATACACTCAATTTTGAAGAAATTTTGCTGAGCTAGTACATACATAGAATGAATCTTGATAAAACAAAAATAAACTCTCTGAATGTCAGGCTTTTTTCTCTATCAATATGTAGTCTTCTGCAGTTGCAGAGTAGTTTAAAACACACATCTTTTAGAACAAATAACTGTTTTAAAATCACCAGTTACAAGAGAGATGTGTCATAAATCATGCCCAGTGTGTAAATAAGGGGAACTAACTCCTAGAGCAACAATGACAAGAACTAGAAATTTGCCAAAAACCAAATATTTCAAAAAGCCACAAAATAATATGCACAAAGCTGCAAAAGTGGAAATGTTAAAAAGCAAAAAAGAATATTTTAAAAAACAAAGCCAAACATAATCTCAGATCTCATAATCTTATTAAGTCAGTGTGTCCAGAATTCATTTTAAGATTTTTATAACACCATTTTTCTAACATTAAACTTAAGAAGAAGTAGTAGCATACCCAGTTCTTAATTCCTGATAGGTATTTTTTCTATGTTCCTAAGTAGAGTGTATTAGTAAAATTTCTCCAAAGAAATTAAAGCAATAGGAGATATAAGTCCAGAACAATTTTATTAGAAAGATTTGACTTATGCAGCTGTAGTAATAGACATCACATAATCTGCCATCTGCAAACTGGATGCCCACCAAGCCAATGGTGTAGCTCTAACCCATGACCAAAGATCTGAGGTGGGGGAGTACATAGCTGAAGGCCTTGTCTGAGTTTTAAGCCTTAGAACTGTCCAAGGGCAAGAGTAGTTGGATTTCTTAGGTCAAAAGAGAGAAAATTCAATCTTCCTTCTACCTTTTTGTTCTGTTCGAGTTATCAATAGAAAGAACAATGTCCACCTACAACAGGGAGGCCCTTCCTCTTTAAGTCAGGGTACAAATTCAAATGCAAACACCCTCACAGACATACCCAGAAATAACGTTTAATCAGTCATCTCGGTATCCCTTAGTTCAGCCAGGATGACACCTAAAATTAACCAGGTCATCCTTAATTCTTCTAGAACCAGATTAAGTGGGAAAAGGTACAGTTTGAGACATTTTGAAAACATTTAAGATGAACTAACAAAACAAGCCATAAACGGATTATTTTATAATTGGCCCTGTAATATGTAACCAGGCTCTGTGTGGCATATAAGATAAAATATTGAGTCATATGAAAAGCCTGGAAACTCTGTCAGTAATACTCATAGATCACAAATTCTATGTGATCATCTCAGTTCTTGGGTTTTCCTGACACAGTCATAAAAATTTCTGTCACTGAAATCTCCTTAATGTCTTTGTTTGAGCATTGCTACTTTAATGAGCAAGTCCTAAATATCTGACTTAATCTTAAACCTAGCTCTACTGCAGGACTCTACATAATCCTTAGCCTAGTCTATGTGTGTGGGCTTTCATTGATTTTTCTATAGTATTTTATTACCTAATAATATAATTTTAAAAATTATCATGTTTATTATTTACTGTGTCTCTATCTAGTTCATGTGAACTAGGTCTCTATCACTTTTCTTGACTATTATTTCTCAAGCATGTAAAAGAATGCTTGATATAAAGTTTCTTTGTACTAAAAACAAACAAACAAAAATAAGCTTTGCTTACTAAATATGAGGGAGGACATGATAAACTAAAGAGTTTAATAAAACTAATGAAAAGTGAAAGAAAACAACAACATACAAAAATACATATGGTCAGTCAAAAGTTGAAAATATT